ACACCAGATCCAGAGGCACACAGAACGCCATCACCAATCAACCACACCAGACCCAAACCCAGACCCTCTCCACAGATAAATTACAGACACCATCCAGTAGCCAAACCATGGTGGCACCTCCGGATGCTGCACCCCCCTGCAATCCCTACACAGATCTGGCTGGCACAGGACACAAAACCACAGCTCGCCCCTATACACGAAGCCAAGCCAGAGCACAACTAAGTGCAGTACAGCCATCTTCTCAGAAAAACTCTTCACAAAGTTCAAGAGGTCAAGACACGAAGGCTTTAGCAACTAATCCACACCTAATGACCCACCTAAGTGGTACTCAGGATATCACTCAAGAAATCACTCAAGATATCCCTCAAGTAATTAAGGAACAAAAGAAGAAGAAGGAAGAAGAAGGAACAAAAGAAGAAAAGGCACACTAGCCTGGGAACTTCCTCTCTGCCCAGAACATTGGAGGCTATACACCACACCCCCTCAACAGTATTTATAAGAACTCAAACACTGAGATCCTGCTCTGTTCCAGTAACAAGAAGCCGAAAGCACCAGCCTGAAGATGACGAGTGAGACCTCGTCGAAACGTCGCCTAGACACCCCAACTTTTACACGGGAAGACACCCGAGGACACCAAAACCTGCATATATATATATATATATATATATATTGTTTTACTATGGCATATATATATATATGCCATAGTAAAACAATAAAGTATTTTGAAAAGAATATAGGAAAAATAATTTCTAGGAAACAGGTTTTTATCTGTTGCCTAATAACCATCAAGGTAGGTGCAGTCAAATATGTAACCAAAGGAGTCCCACAAATGAGGACCCATAACTGAGAAAGCCCTATTCCTGATGGCTGTCCACCACTAGGGATGTCAGAGTATTCTGACAAAAACAGAAAAGAAAAAAGGAAATGGCCATAGTTCACATGTTCATCTGTGGTCAGGAACAAACATCAGTCAAGTGACTATGACTGGATTTTGTTTACATCATTAAGTTTTTTAATAGCTGCAAAAACAACGTATTCAACTTTTTACTTTCTTTTGATGTTTCCTTTAACACTGAAATGATCCTAATTTATGTAAATAGTTACATTATTTATATAACTTGATAGACCTGCCAGTGACTTTTACAGATTAGTATATATTCCTAGCCAAACAATTCTGCCCTTGCTACTGTAGGATCAATATAAAAGGAGTGCTATACAGTATTAGCCAAGCAGAAATGAAAAACCAATTCAAACCTGGAAAGCCCAACATTCAGCAAATGTTGGTAAATGGCCAAGAACATGTCAGGAGGTACAATTTGCTGCCTTTAAAAAGACAGCTTGAATCTCACACCCAGCTCTCTGTTTTCCTATTGATGCCAAAATAACTGCTGAGGTTCATGCCACACAGACACATTGAGGGGTGGCAGTAGGACGCCTCTTTTGGTTACATAACAGTGTTACAGTTATTGTAGCCTTGCCTCATGTTGTGGATATACGAAAGAAAAAAGTCACTGTGGCCTTCAATATATTAAAAATAAATTAGAAATTATTACAGTAAGTTTGGTCCCATAATCAGACCTTAAAATGTCAGTTTTGTTGTGAAAAAGCGGAAAGGTTATATATTTTAAAGATCTTGCCATTTGATTGTTCAAACTAATTAACAGGTACCTGACAGCTGGTTTAAAATTGCTGCTAAACGTCCCTGCTGACTCACACGGTGACTACAAATTTAATGTTCATTAAAATATGTCACAATTGGAGATCAAAAATTGTGACCATCTGTCAGCATAACCTTAAGCATACGTTGTTCTTGATAAACTGTGCCTAACCCTATGACCTGAGTAAATTTCCATAGGCTAAAATATAACACACATCTATATCAATCCTCAACACAAGCCCCATAATATTGAAAAGGGCAAATACTGGCAGAACAATTTGAAAAAGCAAATCCCTGTTTTTGCTAAAGGGAGTCTTAGAGACAGACAGAGAGAGAGAGAGAGAGACCAGATGGCGTTCTTCGTATTTATTAATCTTTTACTTTGACTAAAGTTTAGATTTTTAGATTTTACTCAGTACCAGAAATATTAGGGAACGAAAATGAAATTAATTGGAGTTAAAATTATAGCAAGTTTTGTAGTTTAACTACCCTCTGCAAATTATAGTTACCAGGATTCTTGCAGGGAAGCCATTACTTTAATTATATGGTGTGGATGTGACCCCAATCAAATGACAATCATTCAATTAGCGTTTGAAAAACTCACCCCTTTTCTTATTTCTGAGAAACATATTTGTTTCCTCTTAATTGAAAAACCTAAGGAATATTGGTACAGCCTTTTGATCAACCAATGTAAGCGCCAGAACTAGGGGTAAGAGGGAGACAAACCACTATTGAGGCATAGCTCATTGAGGCAAGACTATTCTACGATGTGTTTGAAAAGTACCAACAGCAAGACAGTCTATTTTATTTAGATTCCTTATTTTGAATTTATATACCTTATTCTCTAACATCAGAATGATATCTCATGTGATCAACAACCTTGATGAAAAGAGCAATAATCACAAAAGCAAACCAATTACAACCTTCCCAAATCCGGATGAAAATAGCACAATTCATGATTAAATCCTTATCTGAGAAAAGTAGTCGGAGCAGTTTGCTAACCAAAACTAGAGAAAGGTATCCCTTCCTTGGCTGTTTCTGCCAACAGAGCACCATAGGGCCAAGGGGAATCTGTGGGAAAGATATGGGCCTTTCCCAGGATAGATGATATAAGCTTCCATCCAGTCCTGTGGTAGTTTGAAGGTTGGCTCAGATGTAATTTCTCATAACCCATTGCAGCACTCAGACATTGGTTCAAGGATCTGCACTACCCCTCATGGGTTTATCAAAGGGCTGCGTGTTGACAACACATAGGTGACCCTATGACCACTCTTGTTCAGGTCATGTGTGTGTTAAAATTTTTGTCCTGCCCATTTCTCCAAGGAGCCTGAAGGCAACTAACAGTAGTAGAAATAGAATAAAACAGAAGTAATCCCTAAAGAATGCTGTATATTTAGGTATAGGTAAAGGGACCCCTGACCATTAGGTCCAGTCGTGACTGACTCTGGGGTTGCAACGCTCATCTCCCTTTATTGGCCGAGGGAGCTGGTGTACAGCTTCCGGGTCATGTGGTCAGCATGACTAAGCTGCTTCTGGCGAACCAGAGCAGCTCACGGAAACGCCGTTTACCTTCCTGCCAGAGCGGTACCTATTTATCTACTTGCACTTTGACGTGCTTTTGAACTGCTAGGTTGGCAGGAGCAGGGACCGAGCAACGGGAGCTCACCCCATCACAGGGATTTGAACCGCCGACCTTCAGATTGGCAAGTCCTAGGCTCTGTGGTTTAACCCACAGCACCACCCACGTCCCTGCCTGTATATTTAGAAGTTAATAAATTTAACAGTATCCAACCTATTCAACAAATTATCATTATTTAGGGAAGCTTCTTAAGGTTTAATGTTTTATTATGTTTTTATATATGCTGGAAGCTGCCCAGAGTGGCTGGGGCACTTCAACTGCCTCCCTAAAATGAGATTAAAAATTGAGCATCATCCACAAGCCAATTTCAGGATTACCTTCCGCAGCACTTTCATATAGATGCTAAATGTTGATTTACTGTTGTTTTAGTGTTCATTGGTGATGATGTTTTAATGTTTACTGTGTGCTGCCTTGGGACTTACTGAAGGGCAGGTTATAGATATCTATTTTAAAAATACATAAATGAATAAAATGGCATGCTTGATTATTGTGTTCAGTGTAAAAAAGAAAAATATTGATTCAAAATCTTTTTCCAGTCAACTTCAACTGACTCATTAGGTTGAGCACCAATATGAAGTTATTGTTAATAAACAGAACCTGTTTCTCATTTCCCACTTAATTATTTTATTATAAATTCTGGGTAAGTGTAAAGATAAGTGGAAGAATACACAGGGATTTCCAAGAGTTTTCTCATTGACTCTTATTTAACACCAAGGTTATCAGTAGCATCTAGATAACCTGGACTATGTTTAAGACTGTTAGAAGCCTATAGTTTTCTTTTTAAGGAAAAAATCATCAAATGACATAAACAACATCACAGCATCTCTGTTATGAGCAAAGTAATGTTAAATCTGGAAATTATAGCAGTGTTAACTGTTTTTCTGGATAAATTATATCAGGAGAATTATATTGGTTTGTAATTCCTAGGCTGTAATATAGTAAGTTTTTATTTGCTAATTTAGTGCAGCCTACCTAGTGCCCTCAAGATGTTTTGGACTGTAAATCTCATCAACCCAAGCCAGCATGGCTGATTTAGGCCCGAGCTTCAGATACTGTCCCCAAACAACCAGTAGTCACCTTCATAATAATAATGGGGAGGGGTTTGTATCACATACTTCATTCCATATTAACATTTAAAAGTCTGCTTCGTTTGTCATTTAAATGTCTTTTGGGACTCAATTAGTTTAAAGGTCATCTATGAAAATCTGCTTAGAATTGCTGCTTTGCATGTATATTAGTGAATATACTTGCATTAACTTATTTTTAACATTAGTGTTTATATTGTAGGCTTATTGCGGTAACAAATCATAAAATGCACTCAGTTAGTCTAGTACATTTATACTGAAAAACATGTGTTGCTCATAATTTCTAATGGTCTCACTATAACAACATTCCTTTTTACAGTAAATCATGCTTTCATAGTTGTAGCTGCAAGGAGGACTATGCAGTAAGCTACACTTTTTAATAAAATAATTCTTTAGGAGCCTCAGAATATAGCATAGAGGCATTATGTCAAGTCTAGGTGCTTGTATAGTCCAATCTTCTCCTTCACCTGTTGCTTCCCAGATGTTTTGGAATACAGTTTATTTTCTTGCCCATTGTACACATCACATCATATTTTTACCACTCCTGCTCTTTTTAAGATGTACCAGTACATCAATTAATTAATAGCACATTTCCTGAATGACTTTTTCTATTTTACAGATATTGAAAGGAGAACTGGAAATCAAGAGAAAGACTATGGATAAACTCAACTCACTCAGCCAAGATCTCCTTTCAGCTGTGAAGAGTAAAGCACTATCTCAAAAGCTGGAAGGGTGGTTGGAAAATGTGGCTCAGCGTTGGGATAGTTTGGCACAGAAACTGGAGAGCAGTTCTAAGCAGGTTTGTCATCACTATTGTCCTGTCAGCTGATGACAGTTAAATCATATGCCTGTGAAGTGACTGAAGTGAAATTGGCAAAGTTTCAAATCTTTTTCATTCTGAGTTTGTTTTAGACGTGAGCTTCTTCTGAACTAGAATAGGGGTGTGTGAAACCTGTCCTTTCATTTCCACAGGGTTTTCCACTCTGCCGCACCAGGCTTTCAGATATTCACAAAAAGTTCATGAAATATTTTTGGTTCTCCAAATACCTTTTGCACAGTTAGGGGGTTCTTCATTTTTTACCTTGATAAAAGCTGTTGTGTGAACTAATGTGTATCATAAGGGTAGACTGGCACATGCACATTTATATTTTACATGTGGAAGTGCACACACAATTTTCTGGTTCCATCTTTTAAGGTTTTTGTTGGATTCAGGCTTTGTTGTAGTATAAGAAATGGATGCCTCTGCCATAAAAACCAAATGTGATAGAGACACCCACATGCTTGTTCAAGGTTAACAGTTACTCACGGGTAAGGAGAGGAAAATAGGGTGGCTACTACTACCATTGCTGATAAATGGTTACTATAGAGATGCCACACCATGTTAGTGATAGAAAATGGAACAGAGATCTCTATAGCCAATCTAATAAATCATTAATTTGCTGGGTAGCAAATTTAAGGTTCAGCACCAGTTAAAAAAATTGTGTGCAATTTTTTATGTATGCTCCATTCCAAATATTAGTAGAGTGACTTTAACGTTTGTTAATTTAAATAGGAGTACGAAGCCACTCCCAATATTGCCAATGAAGCTGTTTGTTTCAAATATTGCTTCAGATGAAATTTGGTGCCAGCATATAGATGCTCAGAACTGCATTCATGATTTTTGTTAAACATATCAAAACTTGATGGGCTTCTTCAAAAATCCTCAGCTGTTTGGCTGAGAAAAAACTCCCAAATGTTCTTTGAACATTGCTATAAATTTCGCAATGCTGTGTTTTGCGTGGGTTTGGGCTATGGAGTAGGTCTCATCATTTTGCTATACATACTGCAACATAAAGGTAACATCTGAAGGCAGAATCTGATAAATCTGCTGTTTCTTACCTCTTGGCATTAATTTATTGATCTAATAAATTGATATTTGGCCTGTCAGGGAAAACCTCACAAGCTGCACATTTAAATTATCTGAATGCAAATTGCCTCCATTTTTGGACTGGTTTACTGTTTACTACAAAGTAGAAGAATGCCAGGGATTTTATCTCCTTGTGAAATTGAGAAATAAACTTTTAGCACTCATCAATTTGCATGAAGCATTAGCGAAGGCATGTTTTTAATAGTAAGGGATGCCACTTGAATATGTTTTGGGACAGCTAGCAAGGCAGGCTTTTCAAGCCACTGAATTATTTTCCAGCCCATTAATCCAAGCCACAGAAAACCAGTTTCGCCCTTCCTTCCCTTTTTAAAAAAAACCTTCAAAAATCAAGCTGTCAAACTCAAGTAGGCACCTACCTTTGATAGCTGCATCTGCAAAAATTGCAAGAGGTAATGCAGTCTGTAAAAAATTTGTAGAACAACAGGTTCTTTTGCAGTTGGTGACCTATTCTCACAATAATTTTCTTGCCATCATAGTTTTGTTATAGATTATCTCCCTATGCAATTTAGTGGAACCACTTCTCATGGGGTGTCTGAGGCTAAGTTGGGTTGCCTTTGCAACTGAGGATTGCATGTACTGAACACAGCCAAGCCCAAGCCATTAAGATCACTGCCGGGAATAGCCTGGGCTGACTGTTCCCCTGACAGTGCCAAGCACTGCAAACTCAAGTTACAAGCAGGCTAGTAGTTGCCTTTTATAACTTAGGCTATGTACACATTAGCAGTCTGCAACACAACAGGGTTGTTCCCCCCAGCTGCAATTCAAGTCGCTTTATTACATTGCTGTTCACACTAGAGACAGGGTAGGGTTTTCTTCACCCAGCATGTATTACTTGATTCGTTTCCACATACTGAACTCCAATTCACTTAAGCTTTTTATGGTACTGAGACCAAGAGAAGATCCACACCATCCATTTAAAGCACATTCAATGCTCATTTAAAGCACATGGCTTCCCACAAAGGATCCTTTGAACTGTACTTCGTTAAGGGTTCTGGGAACTGTAGTTCTTTGAGGGGAAAACTACAGTTCACAGGATACATCCAGGAAGCCATGTGCTTTATATGTACATCAAATGTGCTTTAAATGTATGGTGTAGATTTACCAAAGGGGAACTTTGACTAGCATGAGGTCTGTAGAAAGAACCGCCGTGTGTTCTACCACAGTAACATCTGGTATGCTTTGTTCTTATGTGTCAGGAAAATGTTGCCCAGGAGGGCAAGAAAAAGAGTCATTAATGCCATCAAGAATGCTTCTTCTTGTCTAAAAAACTGTTCCATTAGCAAAAATGAGCACAGGTCATTTAAGAAACACACACAAAATAAATTGAGTGGTTGTGAATATGTAATAGGTTCTTCTTTACTTCAGTTAGTTTTCTAAGCTATATGCCTTTTGTCTGCTGAAATAGCCAGCTGTTGAAGCAAAGAATATGAATGAACACATACATATTCTCTAATTTGTTTCACAAAATCCAACTTCTCATTTTCACCTTTGTTTGCTTGACTTGGTATAAATGGCATCATAAATACATTCTATTTAATTTTCCTCCTGATTTTTATATTGACTTTTTCATATGTCTTATTCACCTAGCATGAGTCAGATAAAACAATTTGGCTTGAGTTCAATACAGTGTTGTTTTGTTCTGAAGGTCAACCCATGAACAAGGAAGAGCAGTTTCTCATTATTTTCTATTGCCACTCCAAACAGTCTTTATTAAAGTCTTTCAAGCAATGTGTGACCTCTGTTTCAATACTTCTCACAGATTTCACAGGCTGTTGCTACCACTCAGACATCACTAACACAGACAACAGTGATGGAAACTGTAACTATGGTGACCACCAGAGAGCAAATCCTGGTTAAGCATGCTAAAGAGGAACTCCCACCACCGCCGCCCCACAAGAAGAGGCAAATAGTTGTGGATTCTGAAATTAGGAAAAGGTGAGGACTGGGGAAAGTGCTTAGATGAGGAAATATTTTTCCATCAACATTATTAAAAAAAAAAAGAAGTATTTATAGACTGCAATATCAGGACAGTGTAAATGTTGAAGATTTAAATTAAAGTGCAAATGTTTAAATGTTTAATGTTATCTTTTAAATCAGTGGTGTATTCTTTTCTATAAAGCAGGCTTTGTTTCTAACTGGATTACCTGATAATTTTAATGTTTTATATAATCTTTCTTGTGACATAAAAATCACATCTGGAAATCTAGCAGAATGTAGCAGAAGTTCAGCACTCATTTCCATGTTAATTGCTTCCAGAAACAAAATCTGCTTGCAACCCCACTATCCTGTAAAATTGTGGTAGTGTTGTGCTGTAATTTCCCTGCAGTTTTTACAGATCATGCCACCCACCCATGGTTCAAACTAGACATAAAGGTGAAAAGGCTATCATAACTGCACGAAAAACAGAAGACTCTGGTCTGCATTGAGGTGGTATTCTGGCATATAGTTATTTCCTGCCATTGTCAAAGGGGAACAGAAACATGCATGTGCCTAAAGGGTGATAACATGTCTGATGACGTTCGCTGTTGTGTCCCATCATGCTCACTGATGTGGATGGAATTTAGTGTGACATGACAGTATATTGCTCAAAAAGCCACAGCTCCACAATGCAACAGGTGTTGTTGTTTAGTCGTTTAGTCGTGTCCGACTCTTTGTGACCCCATGGACCAGAGCACGCCAGGCACCTCTGTCCTCCACTACCTCCCACAGTTTGGTCAAACTCATGCTGGTAACCTCGAAAACACTATCCAACCATCTCGTCCTCTGTCGCCCCCTTCTCCTTGTGCCCTCCATCTTTCCCAGCATCAGTGTCTTCTCCAGGGAGTCTTCTCTTCTCATGTGGTGGCCAAAGTACTGGAGCCTCAGCTTCACGATCTGTCCTTCCAGTGAGCACTCAGGACTGATTTCCTTAAGAATGGATGCGTTTGATCTTCTTGCAGTCCATGGGACTCTCAACAGTCTTCTCCAGCACCATAATTCAAAAGCATCAATTCTTCGGCGATCAGCCTTCTTTATGGTCCAGCTCTCACTTCCATACATCACTACTGAGAAAACCATGGCTTTAACTATACGGACCTTTGTTGGCAAGGTGACGTCTCTACTTCTCAAGATGCTATCTAGGCCTGTCATTGCCCTTCTCCCAAGAAGCAGGCGTCTTTTAATTTCGTGGCTGCTGTCACCATCTGCAGTGATCATGGAGCCCAAGAAAGTAAAATCTCTCACTGCAACAGGTAATCCAGTGTAAAAGGAACATTAGAAACCAGGGCAGAGGCAAGCATTACAAGCAGGAATACTAATACAATAATCCCCACGTCTGAATCAAGCAGCAGGATGACATCACAAACACATTTAGCTGTGTGATGATTCCAACAAAGGCAATAAGATTTGGCTGCCTTCGCCTTTCACATTCCTCTTATGAAGATTTGCCATGCAACCACTGGGGTTGCACCTAGTATAGTACCATTACAGGGCATTTCCACCTGGATGCCTGTGCCTTGGCTAATGCAATATTTGGTTGGAGGGTCCTACAGCAGATCCTACCACCTTAATACCTGCAGCCTTCTCACCCTAGTAAGCTGTTGTACTTTCCATCCTGCTGACTGAATACTGGGAATGGGGGAAAAGTACGGTTGTGCTTACCTGAAATGTAGTTTTCCATGGTTAGCTTGACTGCATGTCCAGTTATACTCACTCCTTAGTTACATTGTGAGGTAGGATTTTCTTCTATGCCTCCTGATTTTCTCAAGCTTGCCGAGTCTGCAAACTGCATCATGGGAGCCCCACCTCCCCAAAGGTTGCTGCCTCCCTGCCACTGAGATGCGGAGGCAACAACCTGACCTTCTGCTGGGAATGGGATACTACATTTCAGGTTAAGTACAAGTGTGCTTTTTCTGCCTTGAGTTCCACAATGAAAGAGCCTCTGAAACAAATGAAGATAAGAAAGACTGTATTGTGCCAGGCCCTTTGTTTTGCTTAGGAACACTGGAAGAGGATAAGAGTAGGATGGAGACAGAAACAATAGCTGTGGTTTACAATTAAGTTACTATCTTCAACCACTGGATGGACTAGGCATGTCTGAAATTCAAATTAATATGGATCATGAGAACCAACTGTAAAAGGCTAAATATGTTTTGAGCCTCTTTTACATGCAGGATGACTGCAAGTCTCCATATGTCTTTAATAACATTGCTCTTGTATTCAAACCTCCCATGAAAAGGAGAACAAAAGAGGGTGCAGCTGCAGCAGTTTTTTATTCTGGATCAACCTAGCTTCAAAGCATCAGTCATGCAGACCTAAAACTGCTTCAAAACATCTAGTGCAGACCTTAAAACTTGCCCGTCATCAATCATGGCTTTCCCAAAGTGAACTCTGGGGGATTGCAGTTCTGAAAAGGGGACTAAGGACCGCTTGCAGATAAATCTCACAAACCTTGCCAAACATTCTCTTTTTTCTTGACAACTCTTTTACCCAGTAAAATAAATGCCAATCGAGATATAGCATGAATGCAGAGCTCAGTATGAAGTAAAATATTATGTTATTTATAGTTACTATAGTATTATTTCATTTTCATTTTTACACTGCTTTTTTTAAAAACATTTGTGTATGAGGGACGGGTGAGGATTTACATTTTTTCCTGAAAGCTTCAGTGGTTCAGTATGTGAGGATTGAGGAGGAGGACTCTCCTCCTCTAGAAAGAAACTGGAAACTGCCTTCCCAGTCCTGGAGGAGATGCTTTTCCAGCCTTCCTGCAAGAAGAATAGAAAATCACTGATGAACACAAGATTTTTCTTTCTTCACTTGGGGCATCCCAGAAGAATTTCCCACAGAAATTTCTGCTATTTTTTTATTCTTCCTGCTGTTGAATAAGCTAAAATACTAAATATGTTTTTTTAAATTCTACCCTCTGATACTTACAACCTCTGAAATACTTGTGAATGATACACTTTTTAGACCACAGCTAAAATTGCTCTGTACATATACTAGGCCATGTCACTGTACAAAGACTGTTTGTCAGAGCGTCATTGTAGATAACTCTGGATCAGAAACGAGCTGCCAAGCCTTTTGAAAAAGGAGATGTATATTTAAAGCAGGATAGGTGCTCCATCTAGTGTCTTCTCATTTACTGAATTTTAGATAAATATCTTGTTCTCTTTACAAAATAAACAGCTGATTTAAGTACAGCCAAAATAAAATATACTTTTAAATACAGTAATATGACTAATGCTACTGATTTAATGTGCTCTGAATTTTTGCTCTTCGGCTCCTACTGAAAATCATGCAGCAATATTTCCACGCTCCATACAGTGCCACTTTGCTCAAACCAATAAACAGTAGCTGACAGCCAGATTCCGACAATTTGAATCAGGAACAGTCTAGTAGAATATTTTAGCCATAGGCAACCGCATATGATTCATGAGCCATATGTTATTGGAAATATTCTACTGTGATCTTGCACTTTCTAGTTATGTCTCTAGATAGGCTGGATATGTGGCTCCTTGTCACACCACAGCTTCTCCCTTCAGGGTTATGTGTTTTATCATAGCTGTCATCACTTACCTGTTTGTTTTCTGGAGGATTGTTCCTAGAAGGCCTCTGCAGAAAGAAGGGAGAGAGAAAGATACAAGTAGTGAGGAACAGGGAAAAGAAGAGAGAATATGAAATTTTAAAGAGAATATGAAATTCCAGCAATAAGAAATGAACAGAAGAATTGGAACTGAAGACCTTAAGTGCTTGCTTTTTGCTGTTGACCAGATAACTCGAACTCTCTGCGTTATCTATGCAGCATGGGATTTTTATTACTTTCACCTAAAGTGGTCTCCTTTTTGGAGTGACAGACGTGTTTTTTAAAGGCCTGTTTTTTTCTCAATACACCTTTTTTAAATTGTTTTTTAATTGTTTCCTATCTGGTCAAATTCACATTTTTAAGAACCTCATTTTTAATTTGTATGAAATATACACATGATTTTTTCAAGTCAAACTGCAAGCATCTCTTACTAAAGGTCTTAAGAATTAAAAAAAACAGAACCAGGAAAATGGAGCAAGAAGAGGAAGCCAATGGAAACAAAAGATGAATTGATTTCATTCAATAATTGCCTACTGTGTCCTCCTTTATTAGAGACAAAACTAGGTTATGTTGCAATTCTGGTTCGAAACGCAGCATAAGGGGTCTCTATAGTATAGTGTATTTTAAAATGGGGTTTTAGAGTTTTTAGGGGGTTTTGAATGTTTTATGTAGTTTTTATGTAGTTTTTATGTAGTTTTTATGTAGTTTTTATGTAGTTTTTATGTAGTTTTATGTAGTTTTTATGTAGTTTTATGTAGTTTTTCAATTTCATTTTTCTGCATGGGACAATGACAATAAAGATATCGTATATCGTATATCGTTGATCTGGCAATGCTTACATGGAAAGAGTCTCATCATACAGTACTTACCATGTAGACTGCTCTAATGACAAAGAGAAATGTCAGTCACTTCCTGGTTGTTTGAATATATTGTATTGGGCAATATAAACAAATGCAACAAGGAACTGTGGGCAGGCCTAACCTGTACTAGCAAGCAGAAAATACTGTGCCCACTGCTAAGTACCAGACTATCACAGAGCAAATCCCTCAACCAAACTCTTGTGAATGGAGGCAAACCCATCTTCCCATAAAGAGAAGCCATGTGTGTGTGGCCTGACAGATGCCAGTCACCCCCCCCCCCGTTCATTGTTCAGATGTCACCTGCCATGCCCCATGAGCTCCACACAAAGCAGCCCCCTCAAAGCCAGTTGCCAATAGGAGATGGTTAGTCAAGTGCCCTCCACACAATGTGTCTCAGGGTACTGGCTGTACCTAAACCTCTTACCTGCCCATACTAAGTGCCAAACAAGCCAAGCAACCAAACTTAACCCTATCCCACCATAAGCAGATCAAATTAAGACTGAAATAGCTGAAAAGAGGATTACCTCAAATTCCGGATACTCAGCACCATTTGGCAACTGGGTAAGCCCACTCTGATCAAGGGTGAGAGGGCAGGATGCTACTGCAAAGCAGAGAAGAAAAACTCAGGTGTTGAGCAAGCTGCTATATGCCAGCTCCTCCCCCTGACGTTATTGGTCCATCAGGCAATGGGTGGAGGCCCCCTCCTCCACACAAGACTTCCTTACTGGACTGGAACAAACCCACTCCTAGCTGAAGGTAGGGAGTAACCTTATTACATATACTGGAGGGGGGGCTACATTAAAATAACTTAAAATCCCACCTTAAAGCCTGAAATTCAGCATGTGAAACTGGAGTTGTATCTGTACTAAAGGCAGAGCAACCTCTTAAATTAGAATGCATTTATACATTTATAAAAGGCCTGCCATATTGACAGATTGTGTGATATATTCAGGAACGCAGCCTATTTAAAGCCTTTTTGTGTGTCTGTCTGTAATTATGATAGCTCTTTTTCAGTTTTAATTCATACTTCTGGTTTAAACATCTGGTGTTAGCTTTAGTATGTCTTAGAAATATCCTGTGTGTTTTTCTTTTTCTTTTTCTCTCCCTCTTAGGTTTGATGCTGATACAACAGAGCTTCACAGCTGGATGACTCGCTCAGAAGCTGTACTCCAGAGTCCAGAGTTTGCAATATACCGAAAAGAAGGGAACCTGTCAGACCTCAGAGAAAGAGTTAATGTAGGAAAATATTCATATACTTAACAATTTATATTAGAATCACAGAAAAAGTTTGCTAGAAAACCCTGTCTCTTGAAGTACAACTTGTGTTTGACTATTTACCATCCAGTGTTAAACAGCCATGTGTTGCTCTCTATCCTGAGTTTAAGAAAGGGAAATTTTTAACTCAAAGCTTTACTGTCACCCATCCTAGCTGCATTGTTTGTATACAGGACAGGGTGAGTGCTACGAAATGTAAAACTCACTGTTTGCAGCTTTGACAAACATCCAAGGCAATGCATAAAAACGAGGAAAGTACAGGTAAATGCCATTTTTCAAAACATGAATTTTGAAAAATCGTGCCCATGAGTTGACATATCATATCCATTAATGGTTATGATATGCAACTATGAGCTGATATAGTTGAATGGATGGTACATGGCTCAGGGACAGTGCACCTCTCGGTGTCAGGTGCTGGGGGCAAGAACACAAGGCAGTCATGTCCTGTGCATATGGCCAGCCACTGTTAGAAACAGAATCTGGACTAGCAGATCCATCAAAGCAATGTTTTGGTTCCAGTCCTCCTCCTTCTTAAGGGTAGAAATGAATGTATCTGCCAGGATTTTTAATCATCAAGCACTTTTACAACTGGCTTGTAAAAACATAAACCCAAAAAGCCATGTTATGCATAATTCAGTACAGCTATGCCTTTAAATGTGGTGGATCAGTTAATATTCCTGCACATGATGTTTGAAGGAACCCGTGTGTTTACATACACAGCTAATTTTGTAAAAATGCAGAACGAGATATTACATGCACAGCTTGGTGTTTCCTGAAAATTCTGTTTTCTATGTGGCCTACATTTTCAAAGTAGTGTTACTATTGTGCACTTTTCATTATCATGCTATCTCAGTGGTTTCCACAAACTACCTACCGGTAATTGGAAACTGTGTTTTGTTTGTTTAGAAAACTATGTGCATTTGATGTTTCAGTCCAGTAGGTTTGTTAGCTAGCCTGTGGGACTTGAACTACTCTTATCTAGCCTTAAAAAGGTAAAGGGAACCCTGACTATTAGATCCAATCGCGGACGACTCTGGGGTTTATTAGCTTAATAATTCAGAACCTGAGCTTTTCCTCCATGGCAGCAGAAAGATTGTATGCCTTTTTGAAAGTTTCCTTCTAGCACACCTGCTAAAGAAGCAGGAATCCTGCGCTGCCTTGTCCCGATTTTAGTAAGCAGATCTGCAAGGTTGTGTGGAACATTGCAGAGTACCAACATTTCATCATTTATCATCTCCTTTTATGCTTTTTAATATTCCTCTGCTATGAGAATAACATTTTATACTTATGAAAAATCAGATGTATAAAGCAATGATCTGAATTATTCATGTTAACTTTCTATATAAAATAAATAATCTCTTGAAAATATTTAATAATATGAATTGCTGAATAATTGTAATGTACACTTTCAATATCTGAGGCTTACCTTGGCCTTGGACAGAACTGCTCACATGGGACAAGTAAGATTTGCTTCCTGATGAGTTGCTTCCTTGCCACTATTCAGCAGGCAACCTTCCTTTAGCTCAGTCCAGAAAGGACTCAGCATATTTTGAACTGCTAAGTTGGCAGGAGCTGGGACTGAACAACGGGAGCTCGCCCCGTCATGGGGCCTTGAACTGCCGATTGGCAAATCCAAGTGGTGCAGTGGTTTAAACCACAGTGCCATCCGTATCCCTTATTAGCTGTAAAAGGGACAGCTATTGTTTGTTTTAATCATAGCTATGCAACCATGAGCGCTAGGTTCTTGTTCAGCAGGTTATAACTCATTTTTAAAATGTCTTCCTTGTGAAATAGTCAACTATTGCTCTCATGTTGCAGGCCATCGAACGAGAAAAGCCTGAGAAGTACAGAAAACTCCAAGATGCAAGCAGATCAGCTGAGGCCCTGGTGGAACAGATGGTGAATGGTAATTACATGGCAGTTGATTTAGATAATCTTCTTAGGGATTTGATAAAACACACAAGTTCATATTTTTCACATGAATTATATTAGCAAAGCACTTTGTGAAGGAACAGTTAAGTAAAGTAAGTTTGTATTTTTCGTATGTTTCTTTTGAATGATATCTTTTAATTAGAAAAGGAGAAACACTTGAAATTTAGCACCATGTGCTGAGACATAGTTCAAAATTATTTATCCCCCCCCCCAAAAAAAATAGGGTCCAGGCTATTAGCAAGCTGCTCTCAATCCTCATATATTAATTCAGTTCACATTCCCATTTTTTGGTCTTACGCTTTGGAACTGAATTTGTTTATCATCTTAAAACTTGGGGAAACTAGAGATTATTTAAATTATCTGAAAAGGATTGGACCTTATTTTTAGTGTGTGTCACTTTGATCACATGGCTTTCCTCTAGTTTCTTCAACTTGTCTTCTTTACCCCTTAATAATATGCTTTTCTTCTTTCCTTTAAGTGTTTGTATCCTCTTGTTCCTGCCTGCCAACCTACCTTTTTTACTTTATCTGTCTCTTCTTTCAGTCTGTGCATCTACCACCAACAATATTTTCAAGATCAGTTTTTACAATCCTATTTGCCATCTCTGTGCATTTTGCTTCCCATTAAATATATAATTCAAAGATCAGTTTCTCTGGATGGGCAGTTACCATATAATGTGCTTGCTTAAACCCTTTCTGGCCTGTTTCTTTGTGTATTGTTCCCCTTTGATTGTGAATTGGATTTTTTAAAAAAGAAAATCTAATTTATTAAATACCTGGGCTGTTCTTATACACTAAATAACAGAGTGCAAAGAGTACAGATCTAACTGTTGTATCTTGGAGTAGATTTCTAGGTCTTTTACATACAGAAACAGACTGGCAGGATAGCATCTTTCATTGCACATTTAGAGGGCCTGGGATACGCTGTGTAGCACAGCTGTGCCCTACCATAGAGTAGTATGGATATAGAGATATGATGGCCCAGCACACACACACACACACCACACAAAGAGAGAGAAAATTGGGGAAATGCCCCCCATCATTTTTCTGGGTGACCTTCCTATTTCTGGGTGTGGCCAGTGCACTCAGGAGGGGTCCTAAGTGGGCTGCCCTCACTGTCATCCTATCCCTCAATATCTTCTGCCTGGAATAGTTGCCTCAGTCTGCCCAATGGTAGGGCTAGCTCTGAGTAGTGCATGTGTGGTAATGCTGAGAACCAAGCACCAATTGTTGCCTTAGCTTCTGCTAAGTGTCCTGCTGTTAAGACAAAATAATTGATTGGCTTAGCAGCATACAAAGCTGCCTTGTACTGTGTAGCCCAGTGTTGTCTTCTCTGACCACCAGTGCCTCTTTCACATCACCTGCTATCTGATAGAGCTAAATCGAGATGCTGGGGATTGAACCCAGAGCCTTCTGCATGTAAAACACACGTTGTGATCTTGTGCTATAGCTCCTTCTCTGTTATGCCAGCTGTCTGGGAAGCGTTTACAGTTGAAAGTTTTCTCATTTAAAACATCAACAATACTTTATGTGTGAGTATTGTTGAAGTACCTTCCATCCTGATACCAGTGTAGCAGTTTGTAGAGATATGAATGGATGATTGGTTGTTATGACAGATTAGAACAAAGTTCTTGTTGTACTGAAATAGATGCTCACTGAATATATTATGTTAGGAGGCATCAAAATGAGTACAAAGTGAATTTGTAATGATATGACACATAATGAGGATGAAATCTGGTATATTCATTCCAAGCATCCTTGGAAGTCGAGAGCTAAAACTTATTGCTCTACATTGAAACTATGGCTAATGATGAACGCATTTGACAAGGTATGCTTCACATTAAGTGGCATTTCAGAAGACTTTGTATATAAGGTGCTGAACAATTAAAATTATTTTAACACAATTTGATATGCACAGTACACAAGGTAATAAAATTAATGAAGGCACTTCAGGTACTGATCTCTATGTCCTTTGGGGACAATGTATTTATTCACTGCCGATATCAGGGGTTGTTCTGAATATAAAATGTGAAACGATTTATGAGCCATTAACCTTGAAATTATAATATATTACCACAGAATTGGTATTGTATTATTCATCATGCCTGATGTTGATGGAAAGAGTTATGTACCTGCTTAACAACAGTGGCAACGTTTCCCCCAAAAAATTATGTATTCAGGAAGGACTAGTGGTTAGTGCAAAGCAACTCTGTTATGTAATATAACTTGCAATAAACCATGAAATTAAACCATTATACTCAATTAAATCAGCTTAAATTAGCACACACACACACAATATTTAAAGTTATTACACTCATCCTTCCAGAGCAATCCTATGCACGTTTATTCAAAAGTAAGGGCTTAATTATATGTTATGCCAAATACCTGGCTTGCAGCCATATTAGGTTTTTTAAAAATAATAATTTAAAAATCCTAGTTATGGGTTTCCCAATTTCCCTCAAGACTACAGTGTACAAGCAGAGGAGTTTGATCCTTTGTCATCTGAGATCCTGCTGAAAATTGCCATTAGTAAAAGAAAAGAAAATCTCAGGTGCCAATGGAAGCATCCCCCTATCCCAAAAGGAAACTGCAGCACCAGGACATGATTTCCATTGGTGGTCATGTTTGGGATGGTAAGGACTGCATGCTACAGTCCCAGTGGAAATCAGAGGGCCCTACACCTTGGATTAATTTTTTAAAAATATTTTACTTGATTTTCAGGTAAGCCTAAGTCTCATTGAATTCAATTAAGGATTGTATCCTTAATTTGCCCTTAGGGAAGCAGAAGGCTTAAGCCATGTGATGAGATTATTTAGAAGATGTAGGACTTGCTTGCACATAATACTAACAGTCTTAGGCAGTATGCTTCTGAATTCCAGGTGGCATCTTGTTGGCCAGTGTGAGAACAGGATGCTGGACTAGATGGGCCATTGGCCTGATCCAGCAGGCTCTTTTTGTACGGCTTAGTGATATCTGCATTAGCAAACAAGAGCATGAGCAAAACTTCAGCCTTATATAATGCTGGCTCCCCTCCCCTTTGCCTGCATGGCGCCAGAAGGACTGCTGCAGCATTTCATTTCACTTTCACAGAATCCCAGTTTAGGTTTAGGACCAGAGTTCTTCTTCACCTAGATTAAGGTTACCAGACGTCCCCTTTTCCCGGGGACAGTCCCCGGATTTCCAAATCAGTCCCCATACAAAATCCATTGAAGTTGAAAAGTGTCCCCGGATTCATTGAAAAAAATCTGGTAACCTTAACCTAGATAAGCTATCTTCCCAGGTTGACGAGCCCCACCTTCCCCTCTTTTGGGATATGATAAGGGAACCAGGATATGACATTTTATGTGATAGGGGAGGGGATCATGGGAACCTTTACTACCCATAGGTGTGTTCCCAACTGGACAGTTTTACTGAGAATGTAGCAAAATAATGATTAGGGTTTTAAAAAATGTTTTATATACGATTCAGTAATCAAAGACTTCCAGATGTACAGTGCTAGGATTTCCCCACCATCACTGCCTTTGATATTAGATTGTGTTAACATTTGCTCCGGCAAATGCTGTTCATCATTCTCTTCCTTGTTGGCATGCTGTGATTTGGGATGGTCTGGCATTTGCTCTGTGGGCTCTTTGTACTCTGTGTTTCCTGCTTGCTGTCCTTTCTCTGACCCTTTTGATTTGTAATCTGTGAGGATGTAAATTAGCAAATTGTATCTCTGTTATCTGGGGCAATTACTTGGTGTATTGAACTTCCAAAATAGTCATAATAATGTTTTTCTATGTAGTATATGTAGGGCTTTGGCAATATTCACCCTGTTGCTAGTACATGTGTGAATACATACTGTACTAGTTTACATTTGCTGCCCGGTGGAAAAAATTGTCTTCTTTTTCTGTGTAACTTCCCATTTCACACAATTGATTTCATTAGTTCTACATTATCTTATCCTAATGCTTCATTTTTGCAGTGCAGTTCATCTTAGCAATAATACTTTCCTAGACTTTTACAGGGGCATTAAAATCCTCTCTCCACTAACACACAACATCTGTATGTTCAGGATCATTTCTTTGATGATAAATCATTTGTCGGTTTTATGAGATTTCTGATAGAGAAATAGGGTTGTTAAATTTCTTCTTTTTTTATCCACTGTGACCTAAAAATAAACGTTTTAAACTTATCTCTCTCTCCCCCCCTCCCCCAAATCTTTCCTTCCTTCCTTTCTAGAGGGGCTTAATGCTGACAACATCAAACAAGCCTCAGAGCAATTGAACAATCGCTGGATTGAGTTCTGTCAGTTGCTGAGTGAAAGACTAGCATGGCTGGAGTACCAAAATAACATCATTGCCTTCTACTCCCAGCTGCAGCAATTGGAGCAGACAGTAATTACTGCTGAAAACTGGCTGAAAGCACAACCCACACCAACAGCAGATCCTGGTGCAGTGAAAACACAGCTAGATAAGTGCAAGGTTAGAAATTCTGTCCTGGTTTTTGCAGTATAGTGCTGCATACATATTGCTGCATCTCCTTTAGGTCTAACAATCAAGTTTTTTTTCTGCAGAGTGGGAAAAAGGATATTTGTATTTTACTGTTCAGCTATGTTGGCAGACCTATAAGAGGGTCAAGAAACAGGGCCTGCTCACATATAGGCATTTTCAGCTTGTCACTGGGCTGTGTTGGCATAATGGTGCAATTTATTTTATTTGAACAGGTGGTGCTCCACACAAATGTTCTATATGGATTGCCCCATTTCCATGCTTCCATCATGAAAATTAGAGCATCAAATTGTACACAAACTTTCACATGAGCACAGCACTCCTACAGGTCTTATGCTGGCCTCATGTATGTACAGTGTGTTCCCATGAGATCTGCCCCATATAGACTATTCCACAATTCTCTTTTTTCATACTTCCCTTAGTAATGACCATTCAGCAATAGTGAAGGGCAGCGGCAACTGTCGTGCATGACCTCCAACCACGGCACACAAAAGCCAATGAAAAATTTCAGTTCCATATTGCATTTTAATATGTGCCTTTCTGGCTCTTCTGCTGAGAATGCAAGTTAAATGGGGAAGGGGAAGGAGTGAGAAGTAATAAGCATGTTACGAATGAGAAACTATGGCAAACAGAGGCACGCCTACCATTTTCCTGCTAAAGGAGATCAAGGTGGCTTTGACAGATACCTAGAGCATCTCACAATGGACACTGGAGACTCTTGAATGATGCATAAGGGATTGAAAATACAGGGAAAGGGAAGTGATATGTTTTATGCATTTTTTTTAAAAAGTGCAAATTGAAATTGTCTACACTAGTTAAATATTACAATTCTATCTTCAATGTCTATGGGTGGATCGCAGGTGACTCTTAGAACTCATTTGATAATTAGTACAAAACTCTGTGGTGTGGTGATTAGACTAGATGCCCATTTGCACTATACATTTAAAACAGTACTGTACCACTTGAAGCAGTTGTGGTCCCCCCCCCAAAGAAAAAATCCTGGGAACTGTAGTTTATTAAGGGTTTGGAAATAGTTAGGTAAAGGTAAAGGGACCCCTGACCATTAGGTCCAGTCGTGACTGACTCTGGGGTTGCGGCGCTCATCTCGCTTTATTGGCTGAGGGAGCCGGCGTACAGCTTCCGGGTCATGTGGCCAGCATAACTAAGCCGCTTCTGGCAAACCAGAACAGCGCACGGAAACGCTGTTTACCTTCCCGCCAGAGCGGTACCTATTTATCTACTTGCACTTTGACATGCCTTTGAACTGCTAGGTTGGCAGGAGCAGGGGACGAGCAACGGGAGCTCACCCCGTCGCAGGGATTTGAACCGCCGACCTTCTGATTGGCAAGTCCTAGGCTCAGTGGTTTAACCCACAGCGCCACCCGTGTCCCGTTGGAAAATTGTTAGGAGATCCCTATTCCCATCACAGAGGTACAATTCCAGAGTTCCCTGAGAAGAGGGTTTGACTGTTAAACTACTCTGCCTGCCCAGAGAACAGAGAACATTGCAATAAACAAGTCTTTGCTATCTTTGTCCAAGAATGGCTGTAGTTGGCATACCAGTTGTAGCTGGTAAAAAACACGCCTAGCCATTGATGCCATCTGAGCTTCCAATGACAAAAATGTTTTTGAATGAGAGAAATATAGACTTCAGCAGGCATTTTAAGTAAGTTTTCTGATTTTATGGGTAGTTTTAAGTGGTTTTATTTTTATCACATCTTTTTCTTGTTACTGTACACCATATACAGATGTGAAGTGGTATATAACTTCTTGAAATAAAAATAAATTAATGCTCTTATTTTAAAAATATATTTATATATTATTATACAGGATGAAGTCATCCACTTATCAACCCTTCAGCCTCAGATAGAAAAACTAAAGGTTCAAAGCAAAGCATTAAAAGAGAAACAACAAGGTCCAATGTTTCTAGAAGCAGATCTTGTTGCTTTTACCAACCACTTCAATCAAGTTTATGATGATGTGAGAGCTAGAGAAAAGCATCTACAAAGAAGTAAGTGTTACTGTTATTTATATCTCATTGCCTCTCAAAAATCTGTGAAACAAAGCAGACATTTAATTTGACGTGTGTGCGTGTGAAAATGGGTTGTATCCAAAATAATACACATCCCATCAACACACTTGTATGTCAAGGCCCCCTAGCCACCCCCAGGAGAATAAAGACACAAAGACACAGAATTTAAGGTTAATGTTAATGGGCAAATTTAGGCCACACCTTTATTGGTTACAGAATGTGATGCCCCCTTGAAACCGCATTATGAGTCTAAATCTTGTTTGTAGTGTAAATTACAATACATTATGCGCATTTACCTACCGTGTTCTGTGGAATATGCAAGAGTGTTTTATTGATAGTGTAGGTAAATTAGAGAAACAAAGCTGGTTCCTGTTTGTAAGGGAAAGTGTTAGCAAGCAGGAGAAAGGATGAGACTTTTGCAGATGTTGATATATGTTGGGACTAAGTTTGTGGTTAGTCTGAATTCTTGTGATAGCTTTATAAAGTTTCACTAAATGCTTGTACTTTTGAAATACTGTTTTTCAATTGTTGAGAAGTTAACAAAGATATTTGAATGTTAAAGTACAACATTTTGCTTTATGTATATGGTTAGGAAGAAAACAAAAGTGTTGCCATTCTGTGTTCTTTGAAGTGCATCTCATGTTCTCAAAAGAAAAATCATACTTTTAAACTTTTACATAATACTAGCTCCTTCTAGTGGCTGTTGCAGATGTGCTGACTGATCCATGCCTGAGGAAACTCAGATGCTAGGAACTGCATGTTTCAAACAATAAAGCTATGCTTACTAATAGGCAATGTAGCTTATATTGCACATTTAAAACAATCAATTTTTGCCATCAGAAAAGCAAGTGCATCATTCTGAAAAGGTGTGTAAAGTTTTTCTTCATAATTCTGAAGCTATAGCAGTCGATTTTTCTCATTTCCTGTTTCCAAAATTTAAATGAAGGCTATAATCTCGACACCAAAAGGAGGCTTCAAACTGGCATCTACTGGCAATCCTAAAACATATGTGTTGGTGACTATTTCACTGACATACCTTGTGCCCTGTTTTTGCATCAGATTAGCGTTCTAGAAGTTAGTAACCATTTTCATTGGACAACTACACAGGGTAATTATCATGACTTATTTCCTAAGTATGATTTAGAAAATTTGAGAATTATGAAGGCTCCATGTTAGAATATAATCAAGTAGATTTCCCCCCTCACCCCACCCTGTCGTTTTCATGCTAGTTATTGAACAGTTAATTTAATCTTTTTTTGGTCTGTGAAAATGTACTGAGAAGCTGAAACTGGAATTGGGGACTGGTTTGCTGAGAAGGCATAAATTTTCTATCAGTTGTGCTTCGTATATAGCTATGAACTTCTAGAGGGTACTTCTAGAAAACCCTGTATCAGTCAAAAAGAGCATATAAAACATGTAACCAAAATGTTAATATTTTACTTTCTTTCATTTTTTGTTTTTTGTTTTCAGAAGTTTGAAGAACATACATATTTTTAACATTTTTGGTTTGCATTAAAGTTCTTGTGAGTAGGACACTGCTCATGGAACACTTTCATTGGAGAATAAGGGGAAGCATGATTTTTCACTGATTCCTCCTTCCATTGTAGCTATCTGTATCTCCCCAAACTGTTCTGGAGGTGTGGAGGAGCTGAGGTGGCATGTGGGTGGGAGCTGCAGAGAGAATGGAAGTCAGAAATTGCCTCCTTCCTCCAGTGAGATCCTCCATTGGATCTCAGTCTCCCTTTTGCAAGTAGGAAACATTTTTCACGGAAGAGCAGCTCTGAATCTGATCCTTTGTATACATTTTAATAGTATTCTGCTTCTTAATAATGACTCATATATAACATAACACAGAATGCTGTGGTAAGGATATTTTGTACAAACATTGTGTAGGAAAATTAAAAATATTGTGTCACATTATTGCTAGCAGTGCAATTTATACTTTAGGCCTCAAGCAGTTTGAAGCATTATACTTTGCAGCAATAGTTTTTGTTAAAAATACTGAATGCTCTTTTGAATTATTCTGTTGCAACATGATTCTTTTTTGCTGAATTTATCACTTTTTAAGATAATATTTCCTAGGCTGCATTGTCGGATACAGATGAAAGTGGCTTATATTTTGCAACACAAATACAATCTCATTTTCTTGATTAATTATTTTCTCTTTAAAAGGAGAAACCAATTGTGAAATTTATTAGATAATATCTTCTTTTCTATCCCTGCTCTATATTTTTTCCAGTAACATATGCAAACTACTATCCATGAAAAGCTTTTCAGCAATCATCCAGTACACTATAATAAAGCAAGTGATGTTTGTTTTCATATAAATAATTTAGAAGAAAAACACCAGTGAATAACCTCAGTGAATGCTCTTTATTCAACTTCTTCTACCATAGTAGTACATCAGATAAACTTATTAAACTAGTAGCTGGGCATATATTATATTTTGTCATTGTGTTGGTTTTCAAATTCTGCAATATGTTGTTAAAATTGTGGGGAATAGATAGAAAAATGTGCGTGTGTGTCCCATGCCTATGAAACATCAGGAAATTTGACTGCCTTTGTTACTGCCATTACCACACATTAATATGAAGTCATATTAGGTGCTATGTAGGACACAGAAGTGACAAAGAGCCTGTTCTGAGAAGTTAGAATCTACAGGCCTATAAGTACATTACATATGCAAAATCTGTTTACAGCAACCAAACACTTGGTTTTCTGAAAGAAATTCTTTAGCCCTTTACTTTGTTGGAGAGCCATAGCTCTTTTATTCAACTACAATTACAAAGGTTTCTCTGGGTAAAAAAAGCATATTTAAATTGGTTTTAATACAGTAGGTATGAGGGTAAAACCTCAGCGCCTAGGGCTTGCTGATCGCATGGTCGGCGGTTTGAATCCCCGCGGCGGGGTGAGCTCCCGTCTTCGGTCCCAGCTCCTGCCCACCTAGCAGTTCGAAAGCACCCCTAAAGTGCAATTAGATAAATAGGTACCGCTTTCTAGCGGGAAGGTAAACGGCGTTTCCATGTGCTGCGCTGGTGCAGGCTTGCCAGAGCAGCTTCGTCACGCTGGCCACGTGACCCGGAAGTGTCTCCAGACAGCGCTGGCCCCCGGCCTCTTAAGTGAGATGGGCGCACAACCCTAGAGTCGGACACGACTGGCCCTTACGGGCAGGGGTACCTTTACCTTTACCTTTACCTTTACGGTAGGTATATTGGCTTATACAGTAGGTATGCAGTAAGATGTACAAGGCAAATGTGAGGAAGAGGACAGGGTGAAATAAAGGACAGTAAAATGGGCTGACAGAGAAGTAATAGGTGGCATATGCTGCAGAAACCGGGAAGCTACAGTGGTTCAGAAAAGATTTTGGTGAAGAAGTTACTTGTGAATTGGAATCCAAAAGTTGAAAGAGGCAGACTTGAAGAAGATGGAAAAGCCTCTTCTGGGTAGTGAGGTGCGAATATCCTGTTATCTGTCCTAAATCTATTTAAGAGTTCCAATCAAATGTTCACAAAGGCTCAAGTGTTCACAAGGCACTTGCAAATTAGCCACTTCTCATCGCTGAATGCCTGGAGCAGAGGAAGGTGGCATAGGCAGGTACGGTAATTCCAGGCCTTGGTGGAATATATTTTCCCGGTGGGAACTGTGAAGACAAGTCCCAAGATCCCAGTGGCAGGATAGAGATGCTTCACACATAACTTCCATTTTGAAGAATATAAATCTGATGTTTTCTTCTCAGCAAAAATAATGCATTGAGCATCAATTTATTACTAAATATTCTGGTGAGAAAAAGATGCTACACCAGGACCTGGATCTGGCTTTCCCTTGTCTTGTTCTGCCCCATGGTAAACATCTGGAGAATGAGGCATGCAGCAGCTGATTCCAAGTCAAGACCTTTTATTACAACTCCTCTGCTCACCTTAGTCTTACCCACAAGTGCTTGATGCTTATCTAAGGTATCAAAGCTTATGCAAGTGGCCTCGCTCTCAGTCTCATGAAATTCCTATTTACAGGCATGCACCGATACATTATGTTGTCCTAGGTGAATGAAGCACATTAAACAGCATAGCAGTAACACATCAAGTGACCAAGTTGTGACAGTTTTATGTTCAATGTTTGCCCCTTATTTATTTCTGGTCCTTTGCAACTGTGTCTGCCCCAGGCAGCCAGTGGAGATTCAAAGTCTCTGGACTGCATCCCGTAGAACAAGTGTGGGGAGCCTTTGGCCCTTCGGATATTGTTGTACTCCCATCAGTCCCAGAAAGCATGGCCAATGGCCAGGGATGACAGGTAGTTCAGCAGCATCTGGAGGACCCAAATTCATTCACACCTGCAGCTGTTTTGTGGTTTTCGAAAAGTGCACACAAATATTTCTGTTTCTGTGTCCAACCTATTTACATAACCTAGGCAGGCACCCCTGGAAAGCTGACAGACCCTTCATAAGCAGCTCACCACATGGGGTTGATCTGCGACACTATCTTCCCAGCAGAGGGGTTTTAGCCATTTGCCAAGAATGGAAGGCAAGGCAGCAGGGAGGTCAGTGTGGTGGTGTGGATGCACTTTCAGGAGCGCCAAATCTGTTCCTTTGCTATACTCGCACTGCGCCAATGTCCTTGTTGTCTTGTCCCTCTCCCTCCTGGTCAGCACTAGTTACACATCTCTGAAAAGCTAGTCTTGAGCCTTCACTCTACCCAGTGACTGCTTCTGAATCCAGGCAACTGCTCAATTTGCCTCTATGGCTGGCAAGCCCTGGGCATAGGAAATAGAATAGCAGAAGGGTCAGGACTGACTGAAAACTGTTTATAAGGATCCAGGATAATGAAAAATTGATCAGATTTCAGGTGTTAGTTGGGAATACTTCTAAGAGAATAGGGTCTTCTATAGCTGTGCCTCTCAAGGCTAAGCAGAGAAAAGGCAAGTCTTCTGAATTAACTTTGTGAAGCTGTTATATACAGTTACAGATTGGCATTCCAGATCTGTAGTATGCTTTTACAGTTAATATTGTATGGCCAAATGTCAGAAAATGGATTATTTCCAACTTGTGTTCCTCAGTTTGAGTTCTCTCAACAGCTACAATTAGAACTACTGTTGAAAGCAGAAAGTGTCTGCTTCACTCTCATGCAAGCCACATCCTATTGAAATCAATGGCAACATTCCAGTTGGCTTGAATGGATCTTTATTTTATACCCTAGTGAGTTGCTGGTGCCTCCACAGATGTTAACCTATTTTAAGGCATCTGCAATGCCATTCTAATGGGGGCAGTTTAATAAAATGCTATGTTAATGTTCTAATCTAAACATTTAACAGATGTCCCAAAGAGAAGATTGCTTTTATAGATACTCTGAATACAATAACATGAACCATAAAAAGGATATTGGCACTTTCAGTAATAGTTTTTAAAACAGACTCCAATTCTAAATAACATGAGATGTGAGAATATGAGAAATATTCTTGGGCCAGCCTGTTGATTCTAAAATTAAACTTTTTCATGTTACAGTATAATCTGAGGCAACATGCTGATTACATTATGCTGTCGGAAGCCCGGGGGGGGGGGCACTGCACAGCCCCCAAACTGAGACAAACCTCTCCCGGTGTCTTCCTTGTGGTGCGCAGCCCAGGACGTTCATAACTCTTCAGTCCCGCAGCAGCAATGTTGCAACAGCGACACATATCCGAAAATATGTGCACACTCAAACAGCAGAGTAAAGCTGGAAGCTGAGGTGATGAGGTGTGACATCTAAATTATATTTATTAGGCAATATATACAAAGCAATCATGGCGTCCTCTCACATCTTCTCCAAGACAGAGAAAAAGTACAAAAGTACAAAACAATGGAAGAGAAAGGACTGGCTTCTGTTCTCACACTTTCTAAGCATGGAATGTAAACACAGACATGTGATTGGGAGCAATGGGAGAGAATGAAAATGCTGACTTCTACCTATTTCTTTACTGCATGTATGATGTGCTCATTCTTAAACATGTTTTGAATCTCCACCATAATAATCATAACCTATTCTGGGTAATTTTCACAAATGGTTTTCTCATATAAGGCAAAAAGCTCAAGTTTGCAAATCCTGAAAATGACCTTTTATTCTAGTGATTATTTTATGGTGTGGCAGAAGTGTATGGGCCAAAATGTTCATGGTACATCAAGCACAAATTTGAGATGGCTTTGTGTCTTTAAGAACTGATTCGAAAGGAAAACTGTATCAGATGTAGGTTGTCCTATCATAGTAACCAAAGAATAAGTAAACCCAGCCCTGACCCTTCTTCAATTTTGGGTGACTTTTTAAAAGAAAAGATCCTCTCAAGAACTTTATTTGAAAACCCCAAAGTAGTCAATGAGGAATGTAATCAAAAGGCACTGGGAAGCAATCTACTATTTATTTTTTCATTTGCTTCAATTTATTTAATAGATTTTTACCCTGCTTTATTTTCCAAAAGAATAGTAGCTAATAACACAATAACGAACAATGTTGAAATCCTAAAATGTGCAATAAATGGCATACCAGCTGATCATGAAACAATTCAAACAGAATACCAAAACCTTAATAGAATAAAACAGCAGGAAAAAGAAAATGTTGATTACCTGCAGCAAGAGACCATAAACTAATGAGGTATCCAGCTAACTTGTTCCATTTGCACAAGGATTTCTACGTGTGCCATGGAACTCCACCCCTTCCTTGTGCACCCTAAATCTGTTCTGGGTTTTCCTGCAACCCTCCAGAGCAGATTTGCAGCAGGTGCAAAGTGGGTGCGTGGGGAGAGGGGAAGGAAGGGAATCTCCCATTGTGCAAGTGGAAATCCTTGCACTGATGAAACAAGTTTGTTGGATACCACCCCAATATTCAGCCAACTCCAAAGCCAGATGTTAACCACCCAGTGCTCAGGCCAGATGGGCACCCTGGTAATTGCATTCCTAAATGTGTTAGCCACAAATCAAAAAACCCTGCTGCTCATAGCTATATGCTGCACTTCAGCTGGCAGTAGGATGGAGAACAGAGCAAGAATCATTGAGTGAAACACTTCAGGGGAGAGAACATATGAAAGAAAGTGGTACTTAAAGTACACAGACCAAACACTTTTTAGTGCTGCAAAGTAAGAACTAAGGATGTGCATGTCCCCCAAGATGCACCTTGAATCTGCATTTGTGCATTTTTTAAAAAAAAATCCAAACTGTTTCCATGCTCCATGCTCTCTTCACTTAGAACTACAATTCAGGATCCAAGCTGTTCTGTATAAAACAAAGCTCCATTTGTTTTCCAAATGTTTTCCCATTTGCTATAAATGGCAATATAAAAATGGCTATAAGTTTTTCCCTTGGGGCCAAAGTGGATAAAACTTATAGGCACGGGAGCCCCTCTGGAGTGAATTAAGCATGTCAATGTGCAGACAAATAGGTCCAGGTGCTTTTTGTGAGGAAGTAAAAGAAATCCATTTTAATTCACAATCCCTTATTGGGGGGGGAGGTAGCAGGGTTTTGTCTCTTGCTCTTTCTTATCTTAAAATAGTTAAGAAGTGAATGAGTGCTTGTATACTTTGTAGTTTACACTGACCTTTTCTTCCTGGTGCTTGTTTGTTTCCTCCAACAGGCCTTACAATGTAAGTTTGTATTGAAAACTTCATGTGGAGTTTAGAGGAGATCTGATTTGTTGTTGTTAAAGCAGAACAATTTAGGGGTTTTTTATTTTTTAAAAAACCTTCTACGGCTGTACTTCAGCAACAACAAACAAGAACAGCAACAACAATCCAGAGCTCTTCGGTGCTCTGCAGGGAGAATCATTTCTTTAAAAGCTCCTGGACTTAAAGAAACAGAGAGATGTAGGAAAAAGTAGAAAATCACAAAAACAGCAGAGTAACAGAGCAACACAAGGCATTGTGGCTGACCTGATCTGATTTGGCAGGGATTAGGTCATTGACCACACAATTTGACTCAGAAGGTAAAGAAAGACCCTTGAATCACTCCAATTTTGCCTTGTTTTTAGCATTCCCCCCCCATCAGCTGATGCATACTCCAGTAAGAACCAGCATCCTCAGTTGAGCCCAGACAAACAGTGCAGAACACTGGGAGCTGGAAGGTGCAGTATTTGACCAGATTTTGGCCTAGGCTACTCTGAGAACCACTATAGCTGAGGGAGATTGGCAAGATGAGGGTGAATCCTGGCAGAGCCTTGCTTTGCTTCTTTTTTGGGAGGGCTACAGTTGCAACTTGTCTGCTATTGTTGTGTTGTGATCTGAAAAGAGGTGCATTGATTTGTTTTTGTTGTGTAATGGTTACAGTTGCACAAAATTGAATTACATGGAATAAAGCAATGTCCATTTCTCCCCTTCCAATGCAGCTTTCGATAGTTTGCCACCCATGCAGTATAAGGAAACTATGAACACTATTCTCTTGTGGATTCATCAGTCTGAAGCCAAACTCTCCATACCTCAGGTTACAGTCACTGAATTAGAAATCATGGAACAAAGGCTTAGGGAGCTAAAGGTAAGCACAGAGAACATGGTGAGTTTGTTTTAATTGACAAACACTTGGTGTTTATATATTTAAAAATAACCATAAGCATACTGACAGATTTCATAATGTTAGACATTATGGTTTATTCTTAGACTGAATTTAATATAAGCCAATGCACTATTATTATGTTTATTAAAGGCTTTGCAAAGTTCCCTGCAAGAGCAACAGAATGGACTCAACTATTTAAGCACAACTGTAGAAGAAATGTCTAAAAAAGCTCCTGCAGAGGTCAGTCAGAAATATCAATCAGAAATTGAAGGGATCCATGGCCGTTGGAAGAAGCTATCGACTCAGTTGACAGAGAACTGCCAAAAACTTGAGGAACTGATCACTAAGCTACAACAGTTCCAGGTTAGCTGGAATTTTCTTTACTTCCTTTATTTATTATTCATATGATGTCAGCTATGTGACATTTCACCTAGTGTCATATATGGAGTAAAATCCATCTTCCCCTATAGGGGCCTAATCCAAGAAATGGGACTTGGAAGATAGGCAGGGTTGTATTGAATATTCGTGATACTCAGAGGAGACCCATTGACATAAAAAGTATGACATCCAGTTGTTCTGAAATTACACAGAAAGTGTGTATGGTGGTGGTGGGAGAAAAACACTTTTAAAAAGCAATGCAAAATCAGAAGAAAATGAACAGGAAAGATATTTTGATGGGATGAAAGAACGTCTCTCCCCCCCCCCCCCATGCCTGCCTCTGATCTAACACATACAGACTATAAAGAATCTATGCATATCTGTACAAATACTAGTGATGGGTACTCTCAATATATACAATTATTTTGCTATATATTTTAAATGATTTAGAAAACAAAATTTGGGAGAACTGCTATTTCCTGGTATGGTGATCAATAAGGGTAGTAAATAGACCAAATAGGAAAAACAAATGAAATATTTGTTTACATTTTAAAAGAGATTCAGATACATTAACAATCTCAAAGATACTCTTGATGTTTAGACATGAAGACATGTCCAGTTGTATTTTATCACTAACAAATGCTTCATATAATACAATGCATTGTTTGTTCCAAAACAGAATGACTCTAAAACCCTGAAGAAATGGATGGCTGAAGTGGATGTTTTTCTAAAAGAAGAGTGGCCTGCACTTGGTGATTCAGAAGCACTTGAGAAACAGCTAGAACAGTGTACAGTAAGTCATGACTTTGTGTACATTTGATGTACGAAGTAGATCATAGCAAATGCAAAGTATCATCTGTATGTATAGCCTTCCTACAAATGCAATTACCGTCATTCTGCTTTAGGAGACAGTTTGTGTGGGTGTCAGAACATACTCCTAAATGCCTGCAACATCGTGTTCTCACAATGGCCAACCAGCTGTCTATTGAGAGCCCATAGGCAAGACATAGGTACAACAGAACTCCTTCCTCTTGTGTTTTCCAAAAACCTGATGTCCAGAGACATGATACTTTTGATACTGAAGGTAGTGCACAGCCATTGTAGATAGTGATATCCTTATCCTCCATGAGTTTGTCTAAAGAAGGGGTAGGCAACCTAAGGCCCGTGGCCCGGATGCGGCCCAATTGCCTTCTAAATCCGGCCCGCGAACGGTCTGGGAATCAGCGTATTTTTACATGAGTAGAATGTGTCCTTTTATTTAAAATGCATCTCTGGGTTATTTGCGGGGCCTGCCTGGTGTTTTACATGAGTAGAATGTGTGCTTTTATTTAAAATGCATCTCTGAGTTATTTATGGGGCATAGGAATTCGTTCATTTCCTCCAAAAAATTATAGTCCGGCCCACTAGATGCTCTGAGGGATGGTGGACTGGCCCACGGCTGGAAAAGGTTGCTGACCCCTGGTCTAAAGCCTTTTAAAGCCATCTAAATTGCTGGCCATCACTACACCTTGTACTGTATAACCTAGTTTAACTGTGTGCTGTGTGAAGAACTATTTCCTTTTGTCTGTACTGAATCTTCCAACATTCAGCTTCGTTGTTTCATCCCAAACTCTAGCATTATGAGAGAGAAGGAAATAAAAAAATCCCTCTCTGCTTTTTTCATGCCTTACCATGTTCCATTTTTTCCTAAACTAAAAAGTATCAATATTTGGCACAGTGTTGCATCTGCACCTGATTCATGCTTTATCTCACGTCAAACAAACCATGAGCTGTAGCCAAGACTCTTGGCTTAATGCTTGTGACTTGCTTGGGTCATGCTTTAGCTGAGATTCCTGCATTGCAGGGGTAGGACTAGATGATCCTCGGGTCCCTTCCAAGTCTACGATTCTATGAAACCACAAGCCTGAGTTTGCACATAACACTTAAGGCAAACCATTGCGTAGCATAGGAGCGTCAAGAGGGGAGGTTTTCTCTCTGTGAACCAACATACTTGTTCACAGTAAGCCATAATTTGATTTAGCATTGTATGAGATCAAGGTCTGCTTCCTTTTTTAAATTAGATGAGCTATTTCCGAAATATTTATTCTAACTGTCCTTCTGTTGCATTATGTTGTTTTATATAATGACTCTAGTTCAGGCAGGATTAAAGTTAAGTGACATCTATAAAACAATTGAAAGTTAAAGTGTTTTTTTAATCGACTGGCTTCCTGGGCTGCTGTGATTTTCATTAAAACAACAAAGCATGAAAATACCAGAAATATACCCTCATAAAACATTTGTTTTACTATTATGATGACCTCTAGCATGTGGATTTTTCTTTGGAGCTGTTTTCATTTTGTACATAATATTGATAATGGAATAACTATCTAATGAGAAATAGCAACTGTTAAATTTTCTAGCTATCCTTTTGCTAAGGGGAAATAGTATGAAACATTTAGTAATTCTGTCATTATTCTCCTTCAAATGTTAAAAGTGCCAATAACTTTGTAAGAAGAACAAGTAAAAAATTTATGTAGGAGTTATTTGTCTCGTGAAACTTCATGTTAGCATACAGAGCAGAATATTTTATGACAAATGTCAATCAAAAGACATGTAAAGGAACCCAGTGTAACTGACAATCTCACAAGAATGGTGAAGTTGTTGTAATTATCCAATTGCTGTCTTTGCTTGCATGTTGGTACATTTAACAAAGATTGCTTTGAATTCCTGTGGTGGATGGCTCCACACAGCAAGCTGTTCATATGTACAAGAGTCCATTACAATAACCTGTTGTTTCTTAAATGTAAGAATAATGTAGAGTTAATAGAGATTTTAAATTCCATGTTTAGTCTGTGGACAGAGGGCCTAAAAATTGGATAGTCATTACTAGCTGCAGTGATGAAATGAGAGGTAGCCTTTTTTTAAGTGGTTTATCACCCCACTAAAATTATTAGCTGCCCTTGCCATCAGTAATGAAATAAAAACTTTTTTAAAAAGAGAGAGTTATAATAGTATTTACCAAAATAAATCCCCAAACCTAATTATGTTAAAAAAACCAAAAACCTGAAAACAGTTGTTTCACAACTTTTCTCCAGTTTGGCTGGGCTCAAGAGGTATCACATTAATTAGAAACTATAAACAATGTACTGTAATAACTTCTGGGTACTTCACTGAAAAGATGCAGAACAGGGAGTACAAAACCTGTAAGGGTTTTTATTTTTTTTTTGATTTCGCTTATGGATAAAACTGTTCATAGAGGCTGAGGAGATGTCTTTCTATTACACCTCCCCCCCCCCAAAAAAAAATCCTCATTCAGCCTGCTATCTGATATGGTCAGTAATTGATCATGATGTCTTTACTGAGGTAACATACCTGGTATGAAACAGTACTCCCCATTCATCTGTCAGCACAGTTTCTTCTAATTATACAGACTTTAAAATGGAGATATCATTGGTACCATATTAAGGGGATTGAAATAATACTGTTTGTTCTATTTATACTGTTGGTTTGACAGCCTGCGCAGTACAATTGTTGGCCATGTTGATGGTTGATAATGAGTAGCCTTCACTGAAAAAGTGCCTTAGTTGCGTAAAAACAAAGAAAAGGAGCCAAAAATACATAATACTCAAATATGAGCAACAAATGGAAAAACAGCTTGACAAATGAAACATATCTACATGAAATAAGTCAGAGAGATGAAAATCAAATAAATTTGATTCCTTGGCAATCCTTTTTATTATGCCAGTATGTTGCTACCATACCTTCATTCACATGATAAAAGGTTGTAGAAGACATATTGCCATGGACACCAAATCATTTTTCCTATAGAAAAAAGACTGTTTATACAGACAAGACAACTGTTGCAGAACTGGTGCTGGTTTTCACGTCACCTGCTTATAACCGTGGTCCTGTAATAGGCTTCTGTAAGAAAGACATTACTAATGGCCATTTCCACTTGAATGATGTAGAAAATGTAGTTTGCAATAAAATAAAAAAGGGTAGATGAAATGTATGGGTTGTTAAGTCTGTATAAGCCATTTTCCCCAGTGACCACTGGCCATAATAATGCAGCACCTATCTCAGGCGTCCTCAACCTCGGCCATCCAGATGTTTTTGGCCTACAACTCCCATGATCTCTAGCTAGCAGGACCAGTGGTCAGGAATTATGGTAATTATTGTCTCAAAACATCTGGAGGGCCAAGGTTGAGGAATCCTGACCTATTTCATGAACCTTGACATCTACATCCACAACATGCATGTCAGGCTATATGTTTTTGGGTGTTATCCATATGTGAAATCTAAGAAATAAGATTTACCCCTTATATTATTTGCAAACGCCACATTTTCAGCACTGTTCCCCACTGATGACAATCTCCTATATAGTGTCCTTGCCTCATTTTCAGCTTAATAATTTACAACACTAAAGAGACTTCATCATTGTGTATTGAAGATAAAATTTAAAAGGTTTTCTCCTCTCCTCAGCTCCCTTGCCCTCACCCCACTTGTTCTTGTCGTTTAGTCATGTCCAACTCTTTGTGGCCCCATGGACCAGAGCACGCCAGGCACTTCTGTCTTCCACTGCCTCCCGCAGTTTGGTCAAACTCATGCTGGTTATAGGAATATTTGCCTCTACTGTCGATTATTTCAACCCAACACTGGTAGCTTCGAGAACACTGTCCAACCATCTCGTCCTCTGTCGTCCCCTTCTCCTTGTGCCCTCCATCTTTCCCAACATCAGGGTCTTTTCCAGGGAGTCTTCTCTTCTCATGAGGTGGCCAAAGTTTTGGAGCCTCAGCTTCACGATCTGTCCTTCCAGTGAGCACTCAGGGCTGATTTCCTTCAGAATTGTTAGGTTTGATCTTCTTGCAGTCCATGGGACTCTCAAGAGTCTCCTCCAGCACCATAATTCAAAAGCATCAATTCTTCAGCGATCAGCCTTCTTTATGGTCCAGCTCTCACTTCCATACATCACTACCTCCCCCCACTATCACTGCCCAAACAAGTGTGCAGGCTGCTTCTACTGAGGATTGATAGGCTCAGGAAATGTGAGAATGTCATTAGCATACCACAGATTTTCTTTGGAATTCACTTGTGAGCTGAATTCTGGAGAGGGAAAAGAGTGGGTGTGCATCCATTGAGAATCCAAGTGAAAGGATTAAATCTAAAAGAAGTTACCCTTGCCATTGTAGAAGTAAACAATCCCAGCAAATGACATTCCTACTGAGAAATAAACCCTATTGATTTCAATGGGTCTTACTTGCAGGTAAGTGACTATAGGATTGCAGATTAACATATACCTATAAGTTATGTTAGATTCTTCACAAAAATGTTAAAAAGGCAACCAATGAAATTCAAAAGCGTGTATTGTTTTTCTTTGACAATTGTGAGTTGTTATATTGGTAAATATTTGTTTTATTTTAAAATGGCTATGGACAAGAGTGTGAGGAAAGGGAGAGGACAAGGGCCGCCAGGAACCTTAAGCCTCCCCTGTTTGTGCTTATTTCTTATCTATTTTATTTTATTTTAAATTCATTTTTCTTTTTCATTAATTACATACATCTCAATTTCTTAACATTTACTATATATTCCTCCCTCCCTCCCCTCCAGGGCTTCCCCCAACTTCCGCTTCTGGTTTGTTTCTCTTTTCATCCAGTTTGCTATCTCCTAACAGAAAAAGTTATCAATAATATAACATCAAGTATAAAAACCTAAAAATAAAAGTAAATACACTATAATATTTCACTATTTTTTAAACATTTTCTAATACTAATAATGTGAGTGTTTATTTAAATCCTGCCATTTATTTTAATAGGA